GCAGGAGGAGCGCTTGAGGCCAGGAGTTCGAGACCAGCCTGGGCAACATGGCCCCCAAAAATATATATATATATATATATTAGATGGAGTATTGCTCTGTCACCAGGCTGGAGTGCAGTGGCACAATCTCCGCTTACTGCAACCTCTGCCTCTTGGGTTCAAGCGATTACCCTGCCTCAGCCTCCTGAGTAGCTGGGACTATAGGCACGTGCTGCCACACCCGGCTAATTTTTTGTATTTTAGTAGAGACGGGGTTTCACCATGTTGGCCAGGATGGTCTCAGTATCCTGACTTCGTGATCTGCCCGCCTTGGCCTCCCAAAGTGCAGGGATTACAGGCATGAGCCACCGCACCTGGCTACAAAACATACTTTTAAAAATTAGCTGGGTGTGGTGGTGGTGTGCCCCTGTAGTTTTGAGCTACTCAGAAGGCTGAGGATGAAAGATTGCTTGAGCCAAGGAGTTGGAGGTTACAGTGACTGCCACAGGTTATGGGGACGGTAACTGGGTCCAGCTTTTATTTTTGAGACAGAGGTTCACTCTTGCTGCCCAGGCTGGAGTGCAATGGCACGATCTCAGCTCACCGCAACCTAACCCTCCCGCGTTCAAGTGATTCTCCTGCCTCAGCCTCCCGAGTAGCTATGCCTGGCTAATATTTTTGTATTTTTAGTAGAGATAGGGTTTCTCCACGTTGGTCAGGCTCATCTCGAACTCCCAACTTCAGGTGATCCGCTTGCCTCAGCCCCCCAAAGTGCTGGGATTACAGGCGTGAGCCACCGCGCCCGGCCTTATTCCAGCTCTTAACAAAAACAACAACAAAAAAAACTTGTCTGGAAAGATCCCTGTCAGCCTTGGGGAATGTGGAAAGAGAGGGCTGTGGGGAGGGCATTTCAAGTGCCCTGAACTCACGAGGAGGCGCTGAACCCTGGCCGTGGAGAGGGAGGACCTGTATTGACCAAGGGGTCGGGCAGTGGGAGGGTGGGAGGGAGACCTGCAGGCCAGGACAGCGTAGCTGGCGGGGCTCACCCCTGACAAAGGAGCATGATGCTGGCAATTGGGTATTGATGGGAGAGAGCAGACACTCAGCCAGACGGGCTTCACTCGGGCAGGAGAGACAGCCACAGCTGGGCCTGCGTTACCGGGGCCGAGTTTCAGCAGCTGTGGTGTGATAATTACAGGGGCCTGCCTTCATAGAAAAGTAGCAAATATTGCAGTTTAGTAACTAGGAAACTAATAGTTTTCTCAGTGCTGCTTGTGCAAAGCTGGTAATTATCTCAAAAGAAGCAAAGTTTATGAAGTGGGAAGTCATGAATTGGGAATGGGTGTCCTTGTTAAATGCATATCTGCACACTCACGGCTGGGGCCCTGTGCCCCCTTGTAGAGGGTTGGGGGACAGCCTGGCTCTTGTGAGGGCCTAGCCATCCCCTCAGTGGGCTCTGTGAGCATTGGAGGCATGGGGAGTGAGGGGCTCAGGAGCAGGTTGCAATTCAAAATCAAGGGCTGCTTTGAGGAGGTCTCTCCACCGGGCTGCCATAGTCACCAAGTCCAGCCCACACCCAAAGGAACAAGAATGAGTTCCCCCTTAAAAAAAAAAAGACAGGGTCTTGCTCTGTGCCCAGGCTGGAGTGCAGTGATGCCATCATAGCTCACTGTAGCCTCGAACTCCTGAGCTCAAGTGATCCTCCCACCTCAGCCTCCTGAGTAGCTGGGACTACAGACATGCACCACTACTCCGGCTAATTTAAAATTTTTTTTTGTAGAAATGGGGTCTCCCTATGTTGCCCGGACTGGTCTCAAACTCCTGGCCTCAAGGGGTCCTCTTGCCTCAGCCTCCCAAAGTGCTAGGGGTACAGGTGTGTGGCTCCAACTTTGTTGTTGTTTTTTGAGACAGAGTCTTGTTCTGTCGCCCAGGCTGGAGTGCAGTGGCACGATCTTGATTCCCTGCAACTTCTGTGAGGCTCCAACTCTTGAAGGGAGGAGTCTAAGGAGGGTAGGCACAGTTGAAAACCACCTCAGCAGAGTGTCACCTGCTCCTCTGACACTGTCACTTCTCCATGGCATTAGGTTTTCAGTGCTGCTCAGATGCTGCTGCATGTTTAGCCAGTTCTCCAGGGGGTCTGAGTAGCTGGTAGGAGGCTTGCAGTGTCGGGGGACAGGCAGGACAGGTGCTGCTTTCTTTCCCCTCTTGACCAGTTTTGTAAAGGAGTGGGCCCCTGGCAGCCTCCAAAGGTGAGCCATGCTCCTTTCTGCCCTTCCCTCCTCCTTTCCTGTTTAACTCGTGCAGTTGCAGTGGTCTGGTGTCTTTCAGTCTGCTGACGTCATCTGTATCCCTGATGACCAGACTGGGCTCCTGAGTCCCCTGGCGCAACCCGAGAAGTCCAGGAGCCCAGGCCCCTCACTCATCTTGTGTATTCCCTGGCCCGGGCCGGAAGGCAGCCGCCCTGCTCAGGGCCTAGACCATTGTCTTCCTCCTGGGTGGCACTTTGTTCTAGGTCTTTTCAGCTGACATTGCTAGGACATTTTTTTTTTTTTTTTGGTCTAAATGTAAACACATCATGATTCATGGTGGTACTTCCTGTTCAACTCCGGACCTTGGGGCTGTCCCCTGACCTCACTGACCTTGCAGCCGTTTGGTGTCCATACTGTCACGTGAAAGCCCCTCTGCTTTCTCTGCAGCACACGGGCTGGAAACGACCCCCACCCACCACTGGGACAGCTGCAAGCCCTGTGGGACTCTCTAGGCGCATCCCAGAGGGATGTGGGGTCGGATGCCAGTGTTTCAAGGCACCTGCCTGCGAACTGATTTTACTATACGTTAGATGTTTGAGATTGCTTGTTAACTTTTGTTTGATGACTAAGTCAGATCTCCACGACAAGGTGACTGGGGTGTCCCTTGCCCTGGTGGGTCCTTCCTCTCCAAAGAAAAACACTTCCTCTCAAGGTTTCTTTATTGTTTATGTGATGTAAGCAAACCCTCCTTGCAGCTTTGATAGGCAAGCATTCTATGAAGTTTCTCCTGATAGTGGACCCCACGGGCCATGCCCTGTGGCTGCGTTGTCAACAACTCCTTCCTTTTGCACAGAACCCAGGCAGAGGAACTCTGTGTCCTCCCAGGGCCCAGGCACCGGTGCAGATGGGGGGTCTGCAAATGCAGGAGCTTGGGGATGTTCAGAACTGACTCCAAGGGGCAGACTTGGTGGTGGGAGGTCTGCCCCACCCCAGCCCTGCAGGGTCACCCTGGTCAGGCCAATATTGTCTCCAGGGACCATACTGGTGCCTCTCCCTCATAGGCCTGAGTTCCTGGCACTAGGTGTTGAGGGCTCCACTGTTTCCACTCACCCAGCTAACATTTACTGAGCACCTACTGTGTACCACATGCTGTTCTAAGGGATGGATACGCCTGAGATGGATACAGGAGTTGATGAGAAAGGTCCCTGTCTTCACGGGGCCCATGTTCTAGAGGTGGCACCCAAGTCTTGTACAGTCCTTTCCTGCAGGAGTCATGCTGGGCAGAAAGCGGAAACCTGGCCCTAGGGGCTAGGCACAGGCGTGGTACAGTGGCCTGGTGAGGAGCACCCATCCTGGTTTGGGCCCGGTTTTCTGAGCACCTATGACCCTCACCTCCCCCACCCCCTGGTCTGTTTGCAGGAATGTGGCCTGCTGAGGAAGGGGACAGTGCTACTGGCTGACAACGTGATCTGCCCAGGTGCACCAGACTTCCTGGCACACGTGCGCAGGAGCAGCCGCTTTGAGTGCACACACTACCAGTCATTCCTGGAATACAGGAAGGTGGTGGACGGCCTGGAGAAGGCCATCTATAAGGGCCCAGGCAGTGAAGCACAGCCCTGACTGCCCCCCCGGCCCCGCACCCAGGCTCCCTCACCCAGCCTGGTTCTGAGGGTGCCACAGACGTGCTCCTGCTGACCTTCTGCGGCTCTGGGTTGTATCCTAAATGCAAAGCACACCTCGGCCGAGGCCTGCGCCCTGCCATGCTGACCTCTCTGAACGGCGGCACTGGATTGCTCTCCTTTTTTAAGACTCAATCGTGACCTCTTTACTAACACCCGCTAGCTATATTATCTTACATACTAATTCATGTTTTAAAAATATAAAATAGAAATTAAGACTCTAGATATAAATCAACTTAGTACATCCTTCTCGACTGCCATTCTCCTGCTGCCCTTGACTTGGGCACCAAACATTCAAAACTCCCCTTGATGGACGCTAACGCTAAGGGCGGGGCCCTGGCTGGCTGGGTTCTGGGTGGCATGCCTGGCCCACAGGCCTCCCAGCCACAGTGGTGTAGAGGTCAGCCCTCCTGCAGCTAGGCCAGGGGCACCTGTTAGCCCCACGGGGATGACTGCCGGCCTGGGAAACGAACAGAGGAGTCAGCCAACATTCACACTTGTCTGACCAAGCAGGCGCTGGGGAGAGGTGGACCCCGCAGCAGCACCAGCTTCTCTGGGCCCCATGTGGCATGGAGTGGAAGCGTCTCCTTCCCCACTCCCACTGGGCCTTGCCTACAGAAGAGACAATGGCTCAGATCAGTCCCCACATCCCTGCAGTTGCCCCCCCGGCCCGTGAATGAGGATGCAGTGCTGGTTTGCGTCCACCTACACCCAGAGCTGCCCTCAGCTCCTCCAAGGGGTCAGACTACTGGCCACCACAAAGGCTCCAAGGGCCCAGTTCCCAGGCCCAGGACAGCTCAACCCTGTGCTAGCTGAGTCCACCTGCACCCAGACCAGCCCCTAGCCAAGACTCCACTCCTGGGCTCAAGGCCTGGCTAGCCCCTAGCCAGCCCACTCCTATGGATAGAGAGACCACTGAGCCCAAATGGACAAGCCTGGGGCCACCCAAGGGTCAGAAACAGCCTCTGCAGGACACAGCAGATGGACACCTGGGACCACCTCCACCCAGGGCCCTGCCCCAGATGCGCGGAGGCCCTGACACAAGGGAGGAGCCAGCCACTTGTGCCAGACCTGAATGGCAGAAAGCAAAAAGTTCCTTTGCTGCTTTAATTTTTAAATTTTCTTACAAAAATTTAGATGTTTACCAATACAGTCTTATTTTGGCTTATTTTTAATGCGTTTTCTCAGTGTTTTTCTTCTGAGTCACAAACAGCAGGCACTGAAAGCAGTCCCCAAGCCACTGCTGAAGGTCAGTCCTGGAGGTGCTGCCCAGGCTCCAGGCAGATGCGGCGGCCCCGGCCCCGGCCAGCATCAGCTGGACAACGGCTCTCTACTGCACAGGGGCCTCACATGACTGCACGGCTCTGGGGAGGTGGGGCACCTGTAGCCTGACCCCCACCTTGCTGCTTCCAAAGCTTCCTTGCCCAGGGCTGGGCCTTGTGGGGCACCCCTGACACTGTGGTCTGCCTGCCTGCAAGGTGCCCAAGGAGCCCCTCCACCTTTAGGAGTCCAAGTTCTTTCCCAGCCCCCTCCCTGCCTAGCCACCTGCCCCTGGCACCAAGCCTTCCCGCACCTCTGGGGCACTGTGTTCCCAGGGGCACCCTCCTACCCCACCGGCCCCAAAGCCCAGCCAGGCACCCTTCCCTGCCACCTCCCTGGGCCCTGCCCTAGCAGCCCAGTCGGCCTCCTCGGGCCTTCTGTCACTCGCTCACACACAGCACCATGTCAGTAAACAGCTAACTCAGGCCTAGGGAGTTAGGTAGGGTGGGGGGCAGGAAGGTGTCCCCAAAGTCAGGCTTGGCTGGGGTGAGGCGCTGCCAACCCCTGCCGCCAGGGGGCTCCAAGCTCCACGGCAGGATCTGCTCAGGGTGGCCCTTCTTCCACGATCCAAGCCCTAAGAACAAGAGGCTGGGCCTGGGCCCTGCAGAGGGAGAGGGGATGGTGGACGCTGCAGCCAGAGTGGCACAGGACCACGTACAACCTCAAGGCAGGGTGGCCAACTCCACAGGCTACATGGATGGAGATGTGGACAGAAGCATCTGCCCTGGGTGGTGTGAGCTGACCCTTGGGGTCAGGACTGATCCTGACTTGCTGGTCCTCAAAGGGCATTGGAGGGTATGGTGCCCATCCCTACTCTGGTCCCATCTTCTCAGTCCCCTGATCCCACAGTGCCTGGGACAAGGCTGTGGGCCCAGGGAGCACCCTCCCTCTCTGACTTCTGCCTGGCCTCCCCTGGGAATGGGCCACTGGGCTGCTGGACTGGAAGCCAAAGTCCTGCGGGGAACGTGCGGGAAGAGCAGAGCATGCAGGCAGCGGAGACCAACAAGAAGCCCTGGCCCAGAGGGCAGAAATGTTTGGACAAACAACAAGATGAGAGAACGTACCAGGCATGCAAGCTAGACCCAGGAGTCAACGGGCTGAGGCTTAGCGTCCCCCACGGCGTCCACCAGCCTGACCGCGGGCCTGCTGGGCCCTGGGGGAGGGGCCTTCCTGCTGGGATCGAGCTGCAGCGCACGGGTGGGCATTAGAGGCACAACAGAGCAGGTTAGTCAGAGCTCCTGGGGGGACAGGGCAGGGGCAGGGCCAAGGCTGGCGATGTAAGGGTGGGCCTGCCAGGACAGCACAGGGAGCACCAAGGGCACAGGGAGCCAGATAGGTGTGGCTCACACGGGCCTGGGCGGGGGGGCACGTGCACACACAGAGGCCTGCACAGGAAGCTGGGGGATTGGCACACAGCAGGCGGCAGGTCCTGCCCTCGCCGGTGGATCCTGGCGGGCCCTCGCACACACATGCACAGAAGGGTGTACACACACTAGCTCAAAGGCTCCGGCCCATGCAGGGTGTGGCCGGGCACTGCTGTCCCCAGCAGGTGGGAGCTGCAAACTCATCAGTACCCACAGACTGACTGGCACGAAAGGGCTGCTTCCTGGGCTTGGGCCCACAACCCAGTTATACCCCAGAGCTCAGACCAGACCCAGCATGGCCTAGGCTGTTCTCCAGCAACCCCCAGACACAGAGCCCCACGGGGTACCTGCCCACAGTCACATGACACTTACTTTCAATGGTTCCTTCTCAGAGGCCTCTCCGGCAGAGCCAATGCCCCGCGGCCTTCGCTCCCTCCGGTCCACTGTGGAGTATCCGTCTGTAGATGGAATAAAGTGGGGCATGAGGGGCGCTCTGAGGGGGGCCCCGTAGGAGCAGATCTTCCTCTCAGCCCAGACACAGGGCACTCGTGGGACAGTGGCTTTGGGAGATGGCCCCCACCTACCCTGTCCTCGAGATCCGGGCTGCTGCCAGCTTTCACCAACACCCTGCCTCACGCTGGTGCAACCCTTGCCTGCCCCATGGCAGCTCCAACTCTCCAGACTCCCCTCCACTTGTGGGCCAGAGCTCCTGGCTGGGCACTAACCCCTCTCTAGCTGCCCTGTACCTCACTCTCTGAGCACCCCTTAACCAAATCTCTCTCCTCCACCCAGCACCAACTACACCCCATAAAACCAGCAGGCCCGCCTCAGGCTCTGGTCCCCTCCCGGCACAGAAAACAAACCACACTGCGTCTGCACTCACCTGGACCAAGCGCGTCCATGGGGATCACATCCCGGCTGCCAGTTTTCTCGTCCTCTGCAAGGCAGGAAGAGGAGGCAGGCTGTACACAGCGGCCAGCGGGGATCGGGACACAGAAGCCCCAGGTAGCCCTAGAGGCTCTCTGTCACTAAGGTGCCTAACCTCTGCCAGTTGGAAGCCCCACCCTGAGCTTGACAGCAGCGTGGATGCCGTGGGGAGTAGCCAAGAGGCAGAGGGCAGGGAAAGTGGCCTATGGAAGCCGTCTCCGTGGGAGGTGTGGCTCCTCCTTCACCTTCACCCAAGGGTCGGGCAGCTGGGGTCCCCACCCTCTAGGCCCCCTAACCTTCACCACTCACCAAGGCTCTTGTCCACCAGTGGCAGCGTGCTGTCATCGAAGCCCCCAGGACTCGGTGCTCCCTTAGGCCCCTTGGCAGTAGCAGCAGCCGACTGAGACATAAAACACAGACACAGGGTGGGTGAAGCACATGGAGTGGGAATAAGGCGAAGTGAGCAGGGAAGGCCAAGGAAGCCGCACCTGGAAGCGCGCCTTGGTCCAGCCATCTTTCTGCAGAGTACCACGCAGCTCTTTGTAGCTCCACACTGTCTGCAACACGTGCGACGCCGCCTTCGCCTCGCGTACAGATTGGCTGCGGGAGCCGAGGGCGGGGTCAGTGGTGGCCCCTCCCCCACATCCCCTGCTTCCCAAACCACCGACCCCTCCCCTCCACACCTGGAGGCGACGAGAGCCACCAACGCTGGCACCCCACGTGCCTGCAGGAGCGAGCGCGTGTTATCCAGGCTGTCGGACACGATTTCGTGGATTGTGTTGAGCACCGCCACCACGGTGTCTTCCTCCAGGCGGGCCCCAGGTCGCGGCGGAGCCTGTGCATTGCGCACATTCCGCACAAGCTCGGCCATGGCGTAGCTCCCTGAAGGGCAGGGCTAGGTGTCAGGACACGCCTCTGCCCCACCCCTCCAGCAATGAGCAGGGATCCCGCGAGGGCTAGGGGCGCTGCCAGGACCTGGAGACCGCCACAAGGAACCATGCGAGCAGGGTGCTGAGCTTCAGAGACAGGGCCAGGGGGACTGGAGCTGCCTAAGGTGGGCCAGCGCCCAAACAACAGGGGCGGGGCCTGGACTCCCAAACCACTCATCCTCCAACCCCCTCCCATGGGACTAGAGCTGCAGGCATAGTTCGGTGTCCAGGCGTGGCTTTGCAGGCGTCCTCACCGATAAGATCTTTGTTGCGCCGGTCCAGCGAGAGGTTGCGCAGGGCAATGGCGACGGCGCGCACCACCTTGTCGGTCTCAGACTGCAGCAGTTCCACAAGCACCGGCAGCCCGCGCTCTTTGCGCACTGTGGCGCGGATGTACGTGGCCCACTGAGAAGGTGGGGAGAGGGTTGCTCAGCCATACACCCCAAGCACTCTCCCACCTCCAGATCCTGACTGCTCCCTCCAGCTGAACCTTCCTGCTCCCGTGCCCGACAAAGCCCTACCCCAAAAGCTCAACGGCACCTCCACGGGGCTTTCCCACCGTCCAGGGTGCACGCAGTGCCCGCAGCCCATGCACTTCTTGGATCTTGGGGTGGTGAGATGGGCCCTCCTTTCCCCGCCAGCCGAGGCAGGAGCTGCACCAGTGAGGTGCCTGGGATTCCCTCTCTCAGGACTTGCCCACCCTGCCACACCTGGCCCCTCACCATCCAGTTGCCGGCACTGAGGTTCTGCAGAGCACCGGCGGCAGCCTCCAGGGTGTTGAAGTTCCGGCTCTCCGTGAGGAGGGAGAGGTAGAGACGTACCACCTCGGGTTGGTACAGCAGCTCAAAGCCTGGGTGCAAGGCAATCGCCATCCACGGTCACCCAGAATCTGCTCTCATCCATTATACCCCTCCCGCTTCCCGCTTCAGAGCTCCCAGGGGGTAAGCTGGGGCCAGGGATGGGTGTGGATGAGTCACGTAATGTTTACTATCAACATAGTCACCCAAGGGGAAAAGCGTTCCCATTTCACAGAGGAGCAAACTGAGGCTCAATCAGTTGGACCTGCCTGGCAGCAGGAGCATCCAGGAGGCCTGGGGTGGGGAGGGAGGCGTCAACCAGGAACGCTCTCCTAGCAACAAGACCTGCATTTCCCGGTATGTCCCTGAAGCTATGTATCCTGGCCACGCCCCTAGCAATAGGGCCCACCTTCCCTGGCAACAAGACCAGCATTGGCCACACCCCTAGCAAGAGAACCTGCTTTCAGTAGTAACTGAAGCTGTGCAGAGCCACGCCCCCTAGCAACAGGGCCCACCCTCCCCCACTGACAATAGAGCCCCCCCCCTGTAAGTCAATTGATGCAGTGCAACCAGGGCAGCTGCCCTAGCAACAGGAGGCACTCTCCCTGGCAACCACTCCAGGTTCCCCGGCAATTGAGACGCCATCCTGCTGCTCTGCCCAGTGCTCCAGAAATGGGGGGTCAAGACAGCCTTCCAAGCTTGCCTGTCCCCAAACAGGGGCTTCAGCCTGGCTTGGGATACTACCTCAATCTCCCCTGTACTCGCCCAGCGACATTTCATCACCTCCTCCTGTCCCCACGCCCCATGCTCCCTCTACTCCTGCTCTGCTGGGCTTTCTGCTCCCACATACTCCAAAAACATTCCCTGCTGGGATATCTGCACCAGCCCTGCTTTAACTGTAATGCTTCCCCATAGCCCTCCTGCAGCTGGGGACCTCCACTCTGGTGACATGCAGGCTCTTCCAACTGGTTAGGCCCCACCAGGGCAGACCTCTCTCTCAGGCCAGATCCCAGCACACAACCCAATAGGCACTGTCCTGCCCCTGCAGGTGTTCGTCTGGCCTAGCCTCTGAACCTGGATGTGAGAATGCCCGCCTGGCTCCCAGCCCCAAGGTGAACTCAGCTTTGTGTGGCTAACACAGGAGGCCCTACCTCCACTGGGGGCGTCCCTCCAAACCTTCCCACCTCTTACGCACCGTGAGGCTGAACAAGCCCCTGGCCTCTCTGTGCCTGTCTCCTCCCCCAACCTTGCCTGACATGACCCATGGCACTGCCTCCCATTCTAAACCCTCAGCAGGTGTCCCAGTGCTGAATAATCCTCCAGGAAATCCTGCACCTATGGGCCTGTTTCCCCATCTGTTCCCTGAGGCCCTCCAGGCCTGCTTGATGGCCCAAAGCTCCACTACCAGGGCAATCCTGAGCCCAGACATCCCCTAGCAGAGCTGGCTTCGTCTCAGCCCACTCACCTTTAGCAGCCTCAGTTCGCTTGGGCAGGTCTAGCGTGTCAAAGTTCCGGTCCATCTCACCATCCTTCTTTCCTGGAAGGGAAAGGTGGTGTAGGAGGTGAGGCAGACCCCATATGGGGCATGGGTGTGTCAGAAGGGTTGGGCACAGTTCTCTCCTACCCAGGCCCCAAAAGGCACCCCCATGTCCAGGCCTGGGCACCTGTGGGAATGGAGCACCACTGTCAGAGTTTGGGCAGTTTAGGGGTAGGAGTTGGTGGCAATGGGGCCTGGGGACATCCCAGAAGTCATCTCCCACCAGGTGCTGGAAGCTGTACCACAGACCCTCCCGGTGGCTTCCTTGCAACTGCCAGGTATGTAGACCGACGAAGCCAGGAGCCCTGGCTGGATGGCAGGTGGATACAAGCCGAGAAACTGAAGGCTGACCGGGACAAGACTCGCTTGGGTCACACAGTAAGGCAGAACTAGGGGGAAACTCCCCCAGTCTGGGGTCAGGACATTGTCCCAGGATCTACTAGCCAGGAGAAACCCCACAGCAGCCCACCTAACATTTGTGCAGCCCTGGTTTGCACACCTTTGTGACAGTGAGCCCACTGTCTCTCAGCCACACTCCCATCTCAGATGACACTTCTACCCCCTCACAAGGCAGCAGAGTGGAGCCAGATGACCTGAGGTCCCTGCCCTGCTCACCCTCACGGGACCCTTGTATCCCTTTGAGCCACATGCTGCCCCATTCTATCAGAGAAACAGACTGCTCCCTGGTGCCCCTAGAGACAAGTATCCCCGGGCCCTGCCCACTCTTGGCTCTGCCCGGCTCTGCCCAGGTAGGCAAGTCTGAGGTTATAAAATGAGCCCCTTGCCCTTCCCACCTGCCACTGTCATAAAGATGGCAGCCCGAGTGATGAAGCCAAAGGTGGGGCAGGGCCCTGGGGCTGGAATGTGCTTGCCTCTTCCCAGGTGCCCACTGCACATGCCAGGCCTGGAGAGCAGGATAAAAAGGGACTCACCTTGGTGGAACCACTCCTCTGGGCGGCCGGAGGAAGCAGAGGAGAGAGGAGAGGAGCCTGAGCAGGCAGCACTCATCACCCCCCCATGCCCTCCCAGAGGCCTCAGGTTCCCACTGCACAGCCTGGATCAAGCAGGCAGCATGTGGAACCTCATCCCATCACTTCTGGGTGCTGAGCACCCACCAGTGGGACGAGGAGGAGGCCTAGGGTCAGTGGGGCAGGGGCAGGTGGCGTGCAGGTCACCCACAACTGCTGGGGAGGTCCCGGGAACCTACACCCTGCTAGTGCGGTAGAGAAGGTGTGCAGGGCATCTTGCCCAGGCAGATGGGTGACTGCCCCACAGGTTGGAGGCAGTCTAGAGCTATTCTGTAAACAGTCAGCAGGCAGCAATAGCCATGGCTCTTTCTCAACTCATGGGCGAGTGGAACTCTCCCCGGAATAGAGACTGGGTCTGGGCATCAGTGGGACCACCAGGCTTCCCTTGTGTACTCCCTGCGGGTCCCACAGTGTAGATGGGGAAGGTTGGACCTGGGCCCCCAACCCTGGGCCCCGTCAACCATGTGACCCAGGGCAGTCCAGCCTCCTTGGCTCCCAGCTTCCCTGCCTGCCTGTTGGGGGCTGTGCAGATGTCCTCTGGCCTCCATGATGGGCTGCTGTGGGTGTACAGAGAGCCTTCAGCTGGGGCAGGAGTTGAGATGGTACCCCAGTCCGCCCCACCCACCTTTGGCCTTCTTGCCACCAAAGCAGCTGGCATCATCCCGCCTCCGGCGCTGGGAGACTACAGCACTGCCCAGGGGCCCGGGCTCGGCCTCCTGGTACCTATCGGCCCCGGGCACCTCCTTGTGCACGTGGTAGGACAGGTTCCGCATGATGCACACGCAGTTCTCCACCGACTGCAGGGAGAGGTGAGTGGCTGGGGCAGGGCACCCTAGGCACAGGGCCAGCCCTCAGGAAAGACTGGCCACAGGTGGTGTGCATGAAGGCACCAGGAGCAAAGGGACAGGGAGGCCACAGTTGGGGGGACCAAAGGGCAGTAACCACCAGGGAGGGTCCATGGGAGGAAGCCCTTGCCTCATGGAGCATCTTCTGCCTGCAGGACAGTGCCTACTTCAGTGTGGTCACTGTGAGGCAGGCCATGCCCAGAACGCCGCCCCAGACCCACAAACCCATTCCCCTGTGCTGTTCCCACAGTTCCAGCCTCCCGGGACCTGCATGATCGTCTCTCCAGCCCTTGGTATGAGGCTGTGACCGTCCCCGCCCACCTTGTTGTCCGTGTCCTTCCGGCCCACTGCTGACTGCAGGGCATGCAGGAGCGCGTCCACCAGCCCTTCACACTCCCGGAGTCGCCGCCGGGCCTCAGCACCATCAGAGCTCACATTCCTGCGTGGACAAGAGCAGGTCAGGTGACCCCTGGCTACCACAAACTCCCCAGCCCCGCTCTGGCCTCATGGGCTTGTCTTCATCTGCAAAACAGGCCCTTGCTGCTGCCCTCCTAGCACTATTGGGAAAGGACCCCACAGCCTGGAGCTCAGCGAAGTGGGAGAAGCGAACTGCCCCCGGCCTCAGGAGGGGAGCCCTGGCAGACAGCTGTCTTGGCTGGGGATAGCTGGGCAGGGGAAGACAGGGCTTTCCTGCCTCCCAGCTGACCTAGAAAGGGACAGGTAGACTCAGAGAGACCTGAACCTATGCTTGGGCAATTCTGGGTCCCTCGCCACCCCAATGGCAGCTCTAGGCCCCACCTTACCCCAAGGTCAAGAGCCTGCAGGGCTGCGGGGGAACACCCTGATGGACAAGCAAGACTGTGGGGACCCAGGACTCTGTGGGGTCAGCAGGGCCTCCCAGGGGTAGGAGGGGAAGGGCAGAGGTCACAGGTAGCTGGGATGAGCCTCCCAGATAGATGAACAGGGAGGTCCCAGCTCCCCTCTGGCTGTCAAGTGATGGGAAGGTAGGTGAGAGCTAAGCAGGGCTATGGTACCACACAGACCCCTCCAGAGGGTGCCCCGGGAAGACCAGGGCACCACTTGGGGGTGAGTACAGCCCCATCAGGTCCCACTTCTCATCCACAGGACTTGTGCCACAGCTCCGAAGCTCCCAGGCTCTGGTGCTCCTAAGCTTGCCGCCATCTTCCACACTATCTGGGACCACAAGGACAGGGCCTGGTGTGCATGTGGCTTTAGCACCAGGCCTGGTCCACACCTCAGGCAGCCCGACGTGTTCTTGAAGACAGTTGTCCACTCGGCATCCCGTGGCTTGGAGTCCTCGTTGGGCTCACGCTCCCATCCTGAGTGGGGCACGATCACCTCATGGGTCAGTGTCTGCAGGCCATGGTCAATGATGACCATCTTCAGGGGCTCATATGACGACAGGTTCCACAGTGTGCCTGTGGGGTGCGATTGGCCAACCCGTGCTGACCATATGCACCGCCCGCCTACCTCCCCAGGTGGCCACGCTCAGGACCTGTCCCACTCTCCTCATGTCCCAGCTCACACAGAACAGTAGGAAGTAACAAAAGCCGTGAGTGGTTCTGAGGGACACCAGTACTGGTTTGCAGCTAGGAAGGAACCCCAAAGGGGAGGAGGTGCAGAGAAGGGTGTGGCAGTACTGTCCCGTCCCACCCATTCCCTGCCACACGGCAGGTGGCACTAACACTCCTGAGGCCACAGGGCCTCACAGAGACACGGTCAGGTGACCCTACCTGTCCCTCAGGTCCCACAAGGCACAAGCCCCACCACTGCACTGGTGGGGTGGGAACCAAGGAGGCAGGTCCCAGGGGAGTTTCTGTGGGGGCAGGAGGTGAGGGGACATGCCTGAGGGGCCCACTGTCAGCCTCCCGCCTATGGTAGAGACTGGGGAGCCTGTCACAGCATCTGGGCCTGATGACCGGCTCCTGGGGCAAGCGTCTCAGTGGCTGCACTCCTGCCCACCGGGCACTCTCCCAGGCGGTCGCAGGCCGCGTGGCCTCGTTCCTCCCGTGCTGAGCCTCGCACTCTTCTCTTCCCAGGGGATGTGGGCATGGCCAGGTCCCACTCACCAGTGACAAGCTCGCGGACCTCGTTGTCCCGGGCGGCCCGCAGCAGGCGCACCAGGGCAGGCACACCACCACAGTCCCGGATGGCGGCCTTGTTGTCAGTGTCACGGCCATAGGAGAGGTTGCGCAGTGCCCCACAGGCCCGGCGCCGCACCTCAGCCCGCGGGTGGTCCAGCAGCGCCACAAGCAGCGGCAGCCCCCGCAGCTGCCGTACACGCCGCTTGACACCCTCGTTCTCAAAGCACAGATGTTGCAGGTAGGCGGCCGCATTGGCCTTCACGGGGTCCACGGGGTGCCGCAGCATGGCCAGCACCTCAGGCAGCTCAGGGTCCCGCCAGCGCGGCTCCTTGCGGGCGCTATCCACTGAGGGCGAGCGCCGCACCAGCCGGTCCAGGCTGCCCAGGCTGCCCCGTTCAGGCTGGGCCAGGGGCGCCGTCACTGCTGGGAACGCAGGCCGTTCATCCGTCAGCTCGCCGCCATCATCTGCCGCGTCCTCGTAGGCCCTGCACAGGCAAGTGGGGCGCGTGGACATCGTCACAGCAGCCGCCAGCCCCGCCTCTGAGCTGCCCCATGACACCTTCTTCAGGACTGCAAACTCACCCAGCAGGACTGGGCTGAGAGCACCTGCATCTCCGCCCGAAGCATGGTGGGGACACAGAGAGTCATGCACCAGCCCAGTGAGAACCAATTCACAGCCAAATGCCAAACCCCAGCCAGAGGCTATCAGGACCCAGGCAACCCTCCCAGGACAGCAAGCTCACTCACTGCTGTCACCAGGCAGTGTTCCCCGATCCCAAGCAAAACATGTTTCTGTGCGATATCTGCTAGGGCTGCTGGAGAGACCCACCTCCCTTCCACGAAACCACCCCATCTTCCATGAAACCACCCCATCTTCCATGAGGCCCATCTCTGGCTGTGTCAGGATGGAGAGGGGGTAGATGGCTCTCTCCACATGAAGCCATCCCAGTAGGACCACCCGAGGGGTGTTCAGGCCACCAGGCCCTTGGGGCACAAGATCTCCTTAACTCTCAGTAGCTCTGTGGGTTGCTGTCATCAAACCCACTGCCCTGAGGATAGGAGTGGTCAGGTGACTTGGCCAGGGTCACACAACAGAATCCAGACCCGGGCTGTGGTCACGTCCCCACTCCAGAGATACAGAAACTGAGGGCAATGGGGACAGAATCAGGGGCTGTGACAAGGGCCAGGGCTCTGGGCTCTGGTTACCCAGAGTGTGGATGAGCAAGGCCGGTGGTCGGCACTCTTCCCAGCTTTTCCTAGGCCCTGGGCCTGCAGGATGGTGCCCAGCCAAACTCCTACCACCCCAGGGTCCACCTTTCTTCTCTCCCTGACAAGAGCCAAGGCCAATTCAAACTAACGTGCATGACTAACTCAACTGCAGCCACTTGACAAGTGGGGCACTCTGTAGTTGGGTGGTGGGTGGACTTCCCAGAGGAGGTAGCCACAGGGAACGGGGTGCAGCTCACCTGGTGTGAAGGCCCCGCCCACACTCAGGCCTCCTCCTCGTGGCCGTGCCATAGTCAGGCTCCAGCTCAGGGCCACCCTCGTCATCAGCGGCCAGGCTGCGCGTGTCATCCTCCAAGCCATACGGCTCTGCCTGGAAGCGCTCAGGCAGGGAGCGGCCACCTGGTGGCCCAGGCTCAGGACCCACTGAGAAGGCCTCCCGGTGGCCAGGCAGTGTGAAGCAGCCATCACCAGGGCCTGGGCCAAGGGGGCCAGCACGTGGGGGCCGCACACCCAGCCCTCGGGACAGGCTGCCATAGCTGGAACTGTCCCGGGGCTCGGGGCCTTCGGGAAAGCCAGCCCCGCTGCTGAGGTAGGCTCGAGAGAGTGTGGCCGCCGGGCCACCACCACGCAGCAGGAAATGCCGGTCCAGGGCACCATCGGCAAAAGGGCCTAGTGGGGGGCCGCCATCCAGCAGGGGGAGTCCGTCTGGGCCCAGGGGCACCTGGCGTACTGTCCGAGTGGTCACCGTCTTGACAGTCTTGGTGACCTGGTAGATGAATAGGCAGGTAGGTGGGGTAGCCCGAGAGGCCTAGAAACTGTTTTGTTGGGGCCTGGCTGGCCTTAATTTCCCACTCGAGCAATGAGGCCCCCGGTGGCAAGCTTCCATGTCCACTCTGCAGGTGAGACAGCTGCAGCAGCCTGGCCCTGCTCACCTACCCACTGCCTGGGCCTGTCCATACCTTGGTCTCGGTGCGCCGGGTCGTGCCATCTTCAGATGTGACGATAGACACATGGGAAGTGGGTGTGCCGGGGTCCTCCTCCACCGTCACGGTCTCCTCCAGCACATCAGGCGCCTCCGGCATCGTGGCCAGTGAGGCCTGGCTGCCTGGGCTCTGCTCCTGGGGCAAGGAGGGGCACTGGTGGGCAGGCCTGCTGCTCAATCATCCCTGGAGTGCAGGTCCCCACGCACAGCAGCTCTGCCTCAGCTCGTGCTGGCCAGCACACCAGGGTGCCTTCCTCCTGGTCCTAAACCCACCCACCCCAGGGCCTGTCTCGGCCCAAGCTAGTAAGGACAGCAATAAGTTCTTGCCCTCTGAACATCAAGGTGCTAACCCTGCCCTGGCACCCCATCCTGGGGTGACCCTGGGGCTGGACCCCCATCCCACGCCTCCTCAGGCTGAGTTGGCAGATAAGGCCACAGACCGTGGGGGTGAAGTCTAGAGGGCGCTCCCCAAGCTGCATGGCCTGGCTGCCACAGGCTCCTCCAGGCCCCACGAGGTGCCAGTGAGACCTGCGGGATGCATTCCTGATGTCACCCGCCACCCCTAGCTGGGACATCATGGTGTCCTGGGGCCTCCTCCCTCACCTACCCCAGAAACCTTGAGTATAGAAGCCTTGTGGGGGCTGTTTCAGCACTGCCTACTGACTACTGTGGCCACACTAAGGTTCCCGCCACCAACGCCAGCCAGACGCCCTCAAGGGACAGAAATACGCAGTTCCCAGAACACTCGATGCACCTGTAGCACCAATACATCCTTACTCTTTCCAGCCCAGACATTCTTTAGTGTTGTGCAGGCACAGCCTGGCCCTACCTCAGGCCAGTGGCTGGCGCCCCCAGTGACTGAGACTCTGGGCGTCGTATCAGAGATCAGACACAGTGGATTTGAGCCTATGGGTGCCCTTGCCACCATTCTGCATGGGGTGACGACACTGGAATTCTAGGCAAGACAGCTCTGGACTGAGACCTTTCTATCCACATGCCTACTGACTAGACTTGCCAGTGGGAAAACTGAGGCTCAAAGAGGATAGGCTGGCCCACATCAGAGCCAGGCCCAACCCCTGCTACGCTGAGTGGCTTGAGGACCTGAGACCCACAGCCTGCTCTGGGCCTCTGACTGCACAGGTGCCTGGCCCCAGGGCCACATGGCACCAACATCCGGGGATTGGCATCTAGCCAGGACGGGCAGGAGCTGAAACCCAAGCCCTGGTGGGTGGGTGAGGGGGAGCACATTCCCAGGCAGCCAGGGCAGGGTCAGCAGGAGGACAGGCCCTGCTCTGTGGCCCAGGCCCCTGGTCCCTGCACAATGGGTCCCTTGCCTGGGCCCCCTGGGGCCTGCACAGACACCAAGCTCTCTGCCAGGCTCCAGAGGGAGACTCTGCCCATTCTTGGGCCTGGGAGGTGAGCCAGGCTAGATACTCAGCGCTGCCCTCAGGACCTGCCTACCAAGGCCTGTGGGCTGGGAAGCCTCCCCAGGTCAGGGTCCTATCCTGGGGGAATACTTGACCCCCAAATGCACGCAGTGCAGGTGTCCAGGAAGGGGCCTGCACCAACATGTTAGGACAGGTGTATCCCTCAGGCTCACTGACAGAGGAAAGAAGTGGCCACAGAAGGTACCTCCCCCTCTCCCAGGGGCAGGGTCTTAGAGGATGACAGGTAACTTTATAGATGAGAAAACTGAGGCCTGGCAGGGGGAGAGGATTTACCTAGAACTTCACAGTGCAAGTGGGATTTCAAGCATCCCCAGAGAAGGCAATCTGGCAAGGAAGCCTTTGGGCCTCATCTCACTCTCAGTCTTGAGATGTACATGGAATGCCTGGCTAGGAAAAGGGGACCTGTTCCCTGAGAAAAAAAAAAGACTGAGGCCTAGAGTGGGGACAACTGGTATGCCGCCACGCAGGGCAGGCTGGGCTCTTCTCCAAAGGCACTGGGGAGCTGGGACTGCTCTGAAGCAGGAGAAGGCTTGTGTGGCCCATCACTGCTGGGGCTGGGCTACCCCATCTGTATCTGGCAAAGTGTCAGGCCCTGAGCTCTCTCTGCTGGGCCCTGGGGGAGCTCATCAGAGTTTAAGCAGGTGCCCAGGCACCGAGGGGCTGCAGTTCTGGCAACGGGGTGAGGAGGGTATGCAGCAAGACTGAGGGGATGTTACCCAGGACACTCTGCCAGTGGGATGTGACCCCTCATAGATGCATATATTTACATCTATTAAAGACTCAGAGAAGAGCCCCCTCCTCCCTAGGTAGGCAGTGGGGGTAAGGGGGAGACGAAAAGGGGAGGACATCTCAGGACCCGGATGCCACTCTGTGGCCCAGCTTATCCCTCCCACCAAGGCTGTGGTGCAGGTCTGACAAGCAGAGCTGGGGTGGTCCAGGAGAGCCAGGTCCCCCCCAGCAAGACCTGGCAACCGTGCGGCATCACCCATCAGCCCCGGCCTAGCAGCTCGGCAGTAGGATCCCAAGGCCCCAAGAGTCCCTGCTGGCAAATGACCTCAGGGAGCTAAAAATGGGCGATGACTTCACCCGGGTGGCAGAAGCATGAGTCAGCCAGTGATCACAGGAAAGCCCGGCCCCCGCTACACATGCCCAGGCACACACACATGCATATACATGACCCCTCAGACAGGGACACAGGCACGTACATGTACCTGTGCGAATACCCAGCCTGGCACAGGCCGAGCACATCAACCTGTGTGCTCTAACAGCACCCCAAGGGCACGGTGCCCACTGTTCCCTGAGGCACACTCGTGAGCACACATCCTCCCGTCCTCCATCGTGTGTCAAGACCCTTATCCAGGCAGGGCCTCACAGACTCTCAACACACAGGGACAGGGGCCACCAACTCTGCCAATCACCTGCCCAACATCCACTCTTGGAGTCTCAGAGCTGGCTGGCAGAGGGAGAAACTGAGGTGTAGAGTAGTGAGAGGCCCTAGCCATCTGGTGGCTCAGGTCTCTGCAACATCTTTAGGGTGGGGCTGTGGAATGGTGGGCTGACTCTCAACAGAGGAGTTGGCTGCAGTCCCTGGATCCCTGTCTGGCCCCAGTGTCCATGTCTGACGTGCGCCTGCCCAGACTGGCCCACTCTCAGGGACCTGCAGCCCCACACAGCCTCTGCCTCAGATCCGACTCTAGGCTGTTCCCCTTTGCACTCTAGACATGGGGTCTACCCTGAACACCCCACCTCCAGTCCAACCCCATATGCTGCATTCTGTCAGTCGTCTCTCATCACCCCCTCCCCAGCCGGGGCTCCATCCTTGCTCCTCTTGCATCCTGCCCAGGCTCCCAGCACTCATCCCTCCCTTGGCTCTTCAATCTCTGGTGCACCAGGTCTGGGGCCCCCAGGACTGGCCTGGAAACAGGCTGCTGCCCAGGCCTGAGATTTCCCATGAGCTCCCTTGGGCTTGTGGGAAGGGCCAGAGTGGCCAGGGAGGTAGACCACCTACTTCTGCTCACAAGAGGGTCCCAGGAACACAGGGCTGAGCCCAGCATAGGGGCTCTGGGCCCCATCACGCACCTGGGACTCAGCTTCTTCACAAGAAGGTGGGAATGACAGAGGGGGCTGCGGTCCTGGGACATGCCGGGTAGCACCAGTCCCACCTTTGTGGCAAAATGCAAGGAACACAGGGAGCAGAAAAGCAAGACTGGACCAACACAGAGAGGGACTGCTGGTGGACAGGTGGCTGGGCCCTGGTCCCACAGCATTTATCTACCCGAACCGCTGGACTTCACAGATGTACAACCACAGTCTGTGTCCTGAAGAACAGACTGCAGGAGCAGGCTCCTCCCCTGTCCACGGCCTGGCTAGCACACACAGGGAATGAGTTAAAGTGAGATTGCACACCTGGATCTCACACCTGCAGGCCAGGCTCCCAGAGGGCAGGAGGTGGCTGCCATCAGATGGATGAATGAATGAATCTCCTCCATCCCCAGCATGGCCCTCCCAGGTAGAGTCCAGGACAAGCCAGGCAGGCATCTTCCACCAGGCAGCAAGCCCTTGGCCACCACAAAATGCCCTTTCCCTTAGTGCCACAGCTTCTGACCAGTCTCCAGGACCTGGAGCTCACTCCTCCACACAGCAGTGCACCTGCCAGGGCGTGGCCCCAGGCAGAGAAGACAAAAAGCCAAGCTGGGGGAGCAAGCTTGGGGTGGGAGAGCAGGGCTGACTGTCATCCACCTCAGCCTCCCCAAGCTCAGCTCAGGGTCATCAGACATACTGTGACCATGGATTTCCCAAAAACCATTCCCTCCATCTCTGAGGGCCAGACTCTGGTGACCACACCAGGGCCGTATGACAGGCAGGGGCCTGGCTACCCAGGTGGGCAGGTGTGTGGGAGACCTGCCTCCCACCACAGAGGGTCTTGGCTGGTCTCTCCTCTGCTCAGTCAGTTTCCCTGCCTATTACTGAATCCAGCACTGCTCAAAGCAGAGAGCAGACTGCCTATGCCTCCGCCCCCCCGCCCCGCCTCAATGCTGAGAGGGGGAGGACCCCTTTTTCCTTAGAGATCCCCTCCAGCATCCATTAGTGGGCAGGGCCTGTCTCTACCCCTCCCATCACGTGCGCCTCAGAGGCAGAGAAGACTTCCATTAAAGCTCCGGAAGCTCCTTTGCAGGTCCCGGGAGTCAGAGCCGGCGCAGGGGGTGTGGAGGGAAGAGGAGGAAGCCTCTCAGGGAGCAGAAGGCCTACCCGGGCTTCCCTCTTCAGACTCCAGCCTCCTTCCTGCACAGACAGAAGCTGCTCAGGAAGGCCCTGGCTCTCCACCCGTGTCCCCAGGCACCTGTCCTGGGCGCTGGCCAGGAAGCGCCCATCCAGTCCCGGCCGGTTCCAAGAGGAGGGTCAAACTGCCAGGGGTCCCGGCCCCCGAGGACCCGGGGATGGGCTCCACAGTCCCCACGGCCCCTCCTGCACACCCGGGGGCACCGCACTCACACTGCCACCCGCCTGGCCCTGGCCCTAGGCTGACGCAGCCCAGCCAGGGGCGCAAGACAATAGCCGCCTCGGGCCAGCGGCTCCGCGCAACAAAAGCTGGTCGTCCCGGGCAGGCCGGCGCCCCGCCCTCCGCCTCCGACCCCTGGGCCAGGGTCCCCCCAAGCCAACTTCCCTCCAACCTGTCTGAGTTCGGCCGGCATCGGGCCGGGGCTCGGGGGCTCTGGCCAGCGGCGGGGGTGGTTGTGGCTGGACCAGGCTCGGCTCTGGCGCCTCGGCCGCTCGGGCTCAGGCTCCGCGGACTCGCTCCCCGCGGGGGCGGATCTGGCGGCGGTCACGGCGAGCAGCCAATCGGGCGGGGCCGCGCCCAGGTGGGGCGTGGCGGGGGCTGGGGAGGGCGTGGCGGGGGGGGGGGGGGAGGTCCCGCCCCCCAGAGACAGGGGGTGGGGCCTGCAGCCCCGGGGTCGTACCCTGTCCACCCATCCCCCCCACCCCCACCCCCGACTCACTGCTGGCTTGGGCGTCTGCTCCCTCCCCTCCCCACAGCAGGGGTGTCATTTTCCCGCCGAAAGACTTTGGCCAAGTCCTTCCCAGGCCTCGGTTTATGACCACACTTCACTCCGCCTGCTGAGGGGGAAATAGTTCCGGCAGGGCAGGTGCCCGTGCTGCGATGGACAGAGCGCAAGGCCTCCCTCACTGGCACAAACCTGGCTGCGACTCAGTTTCACCTGCCGTGAAATGGGGGCCAGTGAGACAGCAGTCACGGCCTGCGAGATCCCTCCAGTCTCCCAGATCCGCCCCTCACCCTCCTGCCTAGCCGCCACTCCGAATGGACCTGCAAGGAACTGTCCCCACAGAGTTCACTGGGGACCTGGAAAAGGGCCCAGCAGGGGACCCCCACTTTGTATCTTGGGCTCTCCCCATCGAGGCACAGAAGCCCGGAGTGCACCCCCACCACTCCCCCAGGCCAGCCTCAATGTGGGCCACACCCTAGGGAGTCTGGTTCTGCTGCGGTGAAAAACGGGATGGGAAGGGCTGGGCTGGAGCCACCTTCTTATGTCAAACCCCACAAAGGCCAAGCCAATGGCTCCAGCATCACGAACAGGGAAACAGGTTCCGAAATGAAATGAGCTGGGACCAACCCAGAGAGGCTCAGTGGGTCTGGAAAGAGAAAGGGCTCGGGCCCAGGCCTCCCACTGGCTTCTCCACGGACCCCTCAGAAAACAGCCTCTGCAGGGACCACTCCCTGCTGCCCTGAATGCCATATACAGAGGCCACTCGGCTAGCATGCTCAAGTTTCTAGGTGCCCACCGTTTGCCCCTCTGAGTCTCAGTTCCCCCACCTGCAGAGGGGTGAGCTACCCTAGTATTGGCCAAACTCCTGTATCTTGCATCTAGGGCAGACCTGCCTGGAACCCCTGGAGCAGAGCGCAGAGGACCAAACACTGCACCAGAAACGCATCCGCATCTTATCTTTAAGCTGGCTCCATCTTCTCAACTGCACCAGTTGCTAGTGCCCCAGCCACCTACCCACCTCAGATGAGCCCAAGGCAAGTTCCCTGATGGTACCCCTCCCCACCAGGTGGGCGTCAGTCCTGCTTCAGCTGGCTGTCTAGAGGAGGGGCCCCTTCCTGCTGGAAGATGAAGGGCAGGTAGCCAGGATCCTGGAGCAGCCCCGTGAGTGCAGGAGCACTCCCCCTGACCTGGTTCCCCAGCCTCAGCCCCCAGCTACCTGCCTTGCCTGCCGTTGCCCGGCTTCCCAAAGCCCAGGCTCTGACCCTGTGGCTCAGCAGGTAGATTGCTAGGCACTTCCTACTGAGACCAATCTGGGAAGCCTGGCCAGCCCAATGTGGCCCTGCCTCCCCTAGTATCCTCATCAGCCCAGCCAGTTGAGCTGCAGCCCTGGCAACACATGCTCTCTTCAATCCCAGCCTGAGAAAATCAAGGGCAGGGGTGGAGTGGGGCCGGGGCGGGGAGTTCAGGGGCAAGGGTGGTAGGTGGAGGGGCAATAGCCCGAGGTCTTGAAGTCTTTTGCTTGAGGAGGTCAGGGTAGCTCCAGGCTGTGGGAACATCTTCCCACCAGGGCATCAACCCTCTGGGGTGCCTCGGGTCCTCCCACACTGCCTGTCTGAGGACTGTTCCGGTCTGGGAGGGTTGGACTGAGCACACTGGCGCCTGAGAGGCGGCCTTGGGGTCACTGGCTTCTACTGTCCCCATGTGGCCCAGCTGGGCCCAGCATTCTGCTTCCCCCGCTCAAGTTTGAGGGTACAGGCCTCACATTTTGGAGTATCTCAAGTCTGAGGCTGTGAGGGTGGTCCTAGCACTGAGACCCACCAGAGGCCTCTGAGCACCAGGGGTCATGAAAAAGGGCCCCCCCAGTGAGTCTCAGACCCTCTGGGGACATTAATTTGGCACTGACCATGCACTGGTGCTGGGCTGGGCCTTTTATGAGGATCTCGTGAGCAGACGTAGGAAGTGTGACTTGCCTGCTGGCCAACAGGACACCAAGACTCAGGGAGTAGTCACCAACCCCAGGTCCCTCGGCCTGACACAGGCTGCTGGTTCTGAGCCCCACATGCCCCAGTCAGGTGAGGAGAGCCCATGGGGCCGCCTCAGCAGAGACCAGCATTTGCTCCCTTTCTCTCTAGATGAGAAGGGCCAGGCTGCCCCAAGCTCCTGGCATGTGTGTGCCAGGCACATGTTCCTAGAGTCAGAGCCCAGCAGGACCAAAGAAGGGCGGGTGGGGGTGCAGGTGCTGGGAGTGTGCTGGGGGAAGTCTGGTTGCTGGGTTTAGAGGGGCAGGGAGCTGAGCCAGGGAGACAAGACTCTGCTGGGTGAGCCCTCTTAGGGTCACTCTGTGAAGAACCCAGAGGCCACAGCAGGAGGCAACCCCCCGGCCTCTAGGCTGGGTGGTAAGGAGGGCCCCCCTTATCAGCGGCTGCTGGGACAGCTCCACCCTGACTCCTCACTGCACTAGGCCTCAGTCAGTAACAGGAACCATGATAATCACACCACATCCCAGGTCTCCCTGCATGTACTTGTTCCAGCCTCCCAACCCCAAGCCAGGGGCCCCTGCTGTTTCATCTACAGGTTAGAGCACTGGGGTGCTGGGAGTGGGGTGTCCCAGTGGTCTAACTGTTCACTGCATACCCCAACTTTAGAGTTTTAGGGCCTGGCCATGGAACACAGAGGGCTCTATACCTCCTGAGGCTCAGTAGGGGCCTGAGCCCATTCTGAGGATAATGGCCAGCAGAGAAAATGAGGCTCCCAGGTCAGCCTCTAAGCTGCAGGCAGAGCTCTGGGCCTTGCTCCAGCCTCCTGCTGGGGCTGACCCACCAGAGCATGCAATGAACACCGTAGCAGGGTTAGGCATGGGGCAGGCAAACCCCTAAAGTGTCTCTAGGTAGACCAAAGAGCTGCCCAGAACAGACCCCATCCAGCTGCCTGGGCCCTGAGGGCTCAGGGGAGGGTGCTGTTCTGAGTGTTGGGCTGTGTCCTGCCCACTCTTTACATGGTACCTAGCATACCCAAGTGGGTCCAGCCCAACCTGGGATCCCATTTTCCTTTCCTCCCAGGAGCCCCATCAAATCTTGCAATAAGCAACTGCATGCTGGCTTGTGGTCCACCAGGACCCACTGATTGTTTTCCCACTTGGCAATTTTCACCCTTCCCAAGTCACTAGGCTGTTACCTGGAGGACCAGCTGTTGCCAGGCCATTGGCAGGGGCTGCCCACCGCCCATGCCACCACTGACCATGCCAGGCTGCTGGGCACGCTCCAACTGCAGGGCAACATGGCGCCGCTCCTGCTCCAGTGCCCGTGTCAGCCTCTCGAAGCGGGCCTCCTGCTCCTTCACCGAGGCCAGGATGCTGGCGGCCGAGTGCACATTGCAGTCCTCCATGACCAGGGCGCCCGCCAGCTGCAGGCAAAGCAGAGCAAGCTCAGTGGGGTGGGGCACCAGCGTGGCAAGGCCATCATGGGCCCCTGCCCGCCCCACTCACAGACCATACAACTCACTCCCAGACCAGAGCATCCAGCCCTCTAGAGGGAAGCACATTGATTAAATTCTAAATTAAAAGTCATTAATCCGAGGCTGTCTGGAAGCAGCGGGCTCACTCCCCATGGGTCACGGGACTCTGACCTGGCTCCTCCACTTCCTGCTAAGGCCTAGCAGAAACATGGGCCGTGGGCGGCTTGGAACCCGCTGGGAAGGGCAGGAAGAGCTGGTATGATGAGAGCTTCCTACCTCCCAGGCCCTCTGCTGCCCATAGCACATGCCAGCTCACTCTCCATTTCACAGGGCCACCTCACTCCCATCTCACAGAGGCAGATGCCAAGGCCCAGAAAGGGTGGGGGACCATTTGTAGCCACACAGCAGGTGTGGCATGGCCAGTGTGGCCAGCAAGCAGGGAGTGAGAAGTTGCTCCACTGATGGGTACCCAAGACCCTGAGGCAGGCACAGGTGACCATAGCCTGAGAGCTCCCAGCAACATTGGTCTGCAGACCAGCAGTCCAGCCTCCACTCACATCCACATTGGCCAGGAACAAGGGTGGTGCCTGCTACACGTGACAGAGTGAAAACTGAGGACAAGCCTGGTTGAGGTTCTGGCTGGGGGTGCATGAAGTTAGAGATCCTAAGCCGGGAAGTGGCTGGTGTGTGTGATGCCTTATCCAGAAAAGGGCAGGGGCCAGGCATCGGAGGCCAGGCACAGGATGGGATTGGGTGTGCCGGGCCCAGCCCAGTGTTGCCCTTCAGGGCCCCAGGGGAGCAGGCAGGGGCCATGAGGGCTTGGCAACTACAGTGACAAACCAGCATTTCCCCTCCCGGCTTGCTCCCTGGCTGCCCAGGATGTTTATTTTTCATGGGTAAAAAGAAGCAGGACAAGTATATGGAGCTCAGATCCAGGCTCACCGCAGTGGGCAGGGCATAGCCACGAGGCCACACTGCCCGGAGCACAGTGAGCATGGCCCAGTGCCCAGGCCTGCTCAGGCATCCTCAGGCATCCTCCTGGCCGGTCCCGCCAGCCTGCTGAGGCTGACTGCTGGATCCCTTGCCCTTGCACCAATATAGGGCCCTCCATGGGGAGGACACACATGGCAGGTGACATCCCCAGAGGATCAGCACTGCTGCTCACTGGTCTGGATGGAGCCAGCTGCAAGGAC